TTGCCAACACAAATTGCGTCCGGTCCGAGAGGTAGGAGGAGAACCACCATAAAACGGTGCCCCCCAACCCCAACCCCCCTAACCAGTGCAACAAGATACCATGGTCGATGGTATCAAAAGCTGCTGAGAGGTCTAGCAGGACCAGGATAGAGGAACACCCTCTATCCCGAGCCCTCCAGAGATCATCAACCAACGCGACCAATGCCGTTTCCGTGCTGTGCCCAGGCTGGAAGCCGGACTGGCGCGAGTCTAGATAGATAGTTTCTTCCAGGTGCTGAGGGAGCTGTCGTGCCACCACACTCTCAACAACCTTCGCAAGAAAGCGAAGGTTGGAGACAGGCTGGTAGTTGGCCAAAGCAGCCGGGTCTAGGGAGGGCTTCTTGAGGAGGGGCCTCACCACTGCCTCTTTCAAGGCAGCCGGCAAGAACCCCTCACTCAAAGAAGCGTTGACGATTCCCTGGAGCCAGCCTCGTGTAACCTCCCAGGAGGCCAGTACCAGCCAGGAGGGACACGGGTCCAGTAAACATGTGGTGGTGTTCAGCCGTCCCAGCATCCTGTCCCTGTCCTTGGGGGTCACAGGATCAAACTCTTCCCACAAAATGGACTCAAGACCTGCCACCATTGGCCCGCCTGAACTAGTCCAATCGGAGGCTAACCCGGCCCGGATCCGATCGATTTTGTCATGCAGGTAACACCCAAATTCCTCTGCCCGACCCTGCAAAGGGACATCCCAGACCCTCTGATGAAGGAGGGAGCGGGACACCCTAAACAGGGCGGCAGATCAGTTACCTGCAGACGCGATAAGAGCGGAGAAATAGTTTCGTTTCGCCGCTCTTATCGCTACTAGGTAAGTCCTTAAATGGGACTTTACCAATTTCCGATCGGATTCGGAGCGGGTGGCCCTTCAATTACTCTCTAGGCATCTCTTCCGACGCTTCATCACCCTCAGCTCCTCGGAGAACCAAGGAGCCAAGGTAGACCGGCATCGGGTGAGGGGCTGCAAAGGCACGACCTGGTCCAGGGCCCCCGCGGCCGCACCATTCCAGGCGGCCACCAGGTCCTCAGTCGAGCCGCGGGTCAAGGTCTCAGGTATTGGCCCAAGCTCCGTCTGGAACCTCTCAGGGTCCATCAGGCGCCTGGGGTGGAACCATTTTGTCACTTCTGGTTTCGCCTCCCCGCGGTGGGGCGTAGCGGTAGGAAAGGCCAGCCGAAGGAGAGAGTGATCTGACCATGACAGGGGCTCAACAACTATTTCCCCTAAACCATGATCACTCAACCACTGGCCGGAGGCAAAAACTAAGTCCGGTGTGTGTCCTCCGGTGTGGGTAGGGACATCTACTAATTGGGTCAGGTCCATGGCCATCATGGAGGCCATGAACTCCCGAGCCACCTCAGATGCTTCACCTAACGATGGCAGATTGAAATCCCCCATGACTAACAGTCTGGGGGTCTCAATCGCCATCTCGGCTATCACATTGAGAAGCTCGGGTAGGGCTGCTGATACATAGCGGGGAACCAGGTATACAATCAGCATGCCCTGCTGCCTCCCATGACCCCACTTCACACCTAGGGATTCACAACCGGTAGTCTGCGGCACAGTGGTCTCCCTTGGATCCAGGCCTTCCTTAATAATAACCGCCACCCCCCCCACTCCGACCCTGGGCTCTCGGCTGGTGAAATGCACGGTAGCCTGGCGGGCACATTTCAACGAGGGGCACCTCCCCTCTTGGCCCAGCCAGGTCTCCGTAATACCCGCCAGGTCCACCTCCCCCTCCGATACCAAATCATAAATGAGGGGGGCTTTATTAACTGTGGACCTGGCATTACACAGCATCAGCTGAAAGCCCAGGCCCTTAGATCCTAAACCCCCTAGGCTGCAAGAAGAGCCATGGGGGCCGGAGTGCGCCACAGCTCGTAAACAGCGGGTGCGCCCTCCCCTAGTGTGATATGGCCCTCTGCTCCCGCCATATCTACCCCTCCCATACACAGTCTTAATGGAATTACCCTCTATTAGGCAGACCCTCCCCCCCTCCCCAATTCCAGGACCTACGCCCACCTCACCAAGGCCTTCAGCCGGCCTGGGAGAGTTAATTTCAGTTTGCCCACCCCTCTCCCTGGAACCCCCTAAAACCCGGACTAAAAATTTGATTAAAAATCCCCTTAGGTTGCGTTTTGACCACCTCTCATGATTAAAAAAATCCCTCATAGAGGTGGGCCCTCGTGAATGCTGTGGGCCAGACCTGCGAGAGCGGGGACTCTCGCAGGGCATGGAGGTCAGCCGCTGAATACATCACGGGCACACAGTGACCTCCAAAGCAACCCTATATGCCTACGAAGCCCTGTCTATTATCAAGTTCAGTTCTTTTAGCTGGTGCTCTGGAATGGCCACATTCTGGGAGCAGAAGAGTTGCTGAACCTGGGTTCCAGCTAAGCAGCTGTCTTTCTCTCGAAGCCGCAAAGTGGCCTCTCTGGCTCCTTTCCAGGACCGTGATTGCTTCATCCATGAACAGAGCGCAAAAACAGCTGGTCCCATAAGCAAATTTCCGAACCTCCGGCATTCCACTCTGACGACGTTGGCAAAACTAGAGTGGAATGATGATAGTCAATCTCAGGCAGTAAAAACTTACAGGGGACAATGATAGACAGTTCCTGGTAACAGCAGCCGATGTACAACGATGGTAGTCCGTCCCTAGTAACAGCAGCTAGAGCAATGGTAGTCAGTCTCTAGTAACAGCAGCTTGCTTAGAATGATGTTAGCCAGTCTCTAGTAACAGCAACTTCCTTTCGTCCCGCCTGCTCCACTCGACGTCCAGCGAAACAGGACAGAGTCTTGACTATTCCATAGTTCTGACTTGACAGAAGAATCTTCATTAGAATTCAGCCTTGCCAGAATATTTAAACAGTGCTAGAAAAATGTTTTTTAAAATTAGGGCTGCAGGATGCTATAAAGCTTCTGTTTTCAGTCTGCTTTGGCTATGGAACATTATTTTATACTAGCTGTACCCGGCCACGCGTTGCTGTGGCTCAGTCTGGTTAAATGGAAAAGAAAGAAAAGAGAAAGCGCACATTTGTAATATGTTTAATTTCACAATGCTATAGCATGTGTTGTTTTTACGTCCAACAGATGGCACTGTTTTTCAAAAAAAGCATGTTTTTACCTGTCACAGGTGTGACATCTATATAATAGTAGGTATAAGGTATATAAAAACATGCGCGTATTCAAATGCAACTTTGTGTCAAAATTTCAAAGCAATCGGTGAGGAACTTTCGGAGATTTAAGATTTTGAACAAACGAACATTTACATTTTTATTTATTTAGAAGATGACAAGGAAGTCAGAAAATAGTTTCATAGTAGTTATTTCTTTGGATTAGTAGCCTTTTTACAATTAAATTGCATACAATTCCATTAACTGATATCATTCTTCTGAAAAGCACCTATATTAAAGGCTTACTAAAATGCATTATTTATTTATTGTGATTAACAATTATTAATAAATTAAAAATACAATTTAATTGGTAGATACCTGTTCTGAGAACATGAGTATCAATGGAAATATCCTGTGGGCTTTCCATAAGAAGTGCATATGTATTGTTGTGCTTAGCGGACATTCAGAGCAACTCTGGGAATTTGCTAATAGCCAGCAGAGAAAAACAGCTTAGAGCAATTTCTAATATGTGGACATCAATTCTCAAAATTCCTCAGCTAGCTGAGCTGAAGTCCTTCATGCTAAGTTTGAAAAACACTGAGCTAGAATGACACTATAGAAGCATGTTTCTCTGGGAGATGCGGCCTTAATGGAAGGTCCAGTCAGGGGTAGTAATGCCACATCTAGCTTCCAAAAAGACCTTATATTTTGCAACTAAATTGCCCTTAGCCACAAATGGAATTGTGGCTGGAGTAAAAAAGTTTCTTGGCAGGATAGTTGTAAGGAGTATTGTTTATAGTGTTGTCTCATAAATGCTTTATCCAAGACCTTTAATTTTTCTAAGATTCCTTTGAATACTCATGGAAAATTTTACTTCCTTTGCTAATCCTTTCTCTTGTATATTGTTCAAGGATCTTTAGCAATCCTTTTTCTGGTAATTGCCCCATTTTCCGTTGATGCAAAAAGAGGAAAGATAAGGGAGCTACTGAGGTTGGGAAAGGCTTTTAGATGGATTCATGGTAGAAATGGAAAATATTACCATTCTCTCCAGAGATACAACCGTGATTCCAATCAGGGGTCTCTGTGGCTGGTTTTTTTTTTTTTTTTTAAGCAAATCAGTTACATACCATTTCATATAACATGCAGTTATCTAATCTAGGCTTCTGGGCTTCTGCTTTGAAATGACTAATGCAAACACAAGCAGAAAAACGGGCAAGTCACAACTGCAGATTCAATTGTCTTTTTAAAATCTTGCATAATCCCTTTTTCCATTCATAATCCCCAAAGTTGTCTGGCTATGAAATGTGTAAGATTGTTTCTTTCTACAGTCTATTGTGACACTAGATGGAGGGAAACTTGTTCACATACAAAAATGGAATGGAAAGGAGACCTCACTCATTCGAGAAATAAAAGATGACAAACTAATTTTGGTAAGAGACCCAACGTATCTTTCTTCCTTGGCAGTTGGCTTTTATTGTAGGAAGAAGTTCACTTGGAAATTGTTGAGATTGGTTATATCAGCGGTGCCAAAGCACGTCTAGACAATGAAAATCTACTAGGATTAATTGGGAAGTCTGAATTATTTCTCCTTTCAAATGAATAAACCATCAAAGGGATAATAAAACCAAATAATGCAGTGTACAGCATCCATGGTTCAGTTACCTGGAAATATCTGATTTTCACATATTTCAGAAACTCATATTGTGCAAAATGCTTCAAGTTCAAAATACTTGGTTTAGAGTGAGAAGTGGATTATTTGGCCCATTTTAGAATGTGTCTTGGCACCCTTTCAAAGTAGTCCACTGATTGAAACTGGGTCTTTTGCACTCAAAAAGTGTATTTCAGATTTGAAAACTTTTTCACAATCCTGCTAGAAATATCTTCAGCATGAAGGAACACTTTTAAGCACAGAATTGATCAACTACTGATTAACAGAATTGATTGACTCAATCCTTAGTTCTTTCCTCTGGGGAAGAGAATATAGAATTCTTGGACAAAAGCTAGAGTAAATACTTGTTTAGTCTAAGACTGTCTTTATTCCATTACAAAAAGGTAGGGAACAATCTTTTATTCATAGAGAAATATAGCCATAGGGCCGATCCAACCACTATATCATAATTTGGTTAATTTTGATTCAATTTAATATGCAGAGCAAGTCCAGCTCATTTTCTAACAAAATAATAGTTGATGATGCCTTTGTATGTTGGGCAAACCAAGCCTGTAATAATTTACAGTGCAGAAAAAGTGATAATTTTCTTTCCTATAGGCAGATTTTCTTTCTGCATTTCAGAATAAAAGATAATTGTCTTATGTATCATTTTCTCTTTCAGACTCTGACAATGGGTGATGTGGTCTGCACTCGCACCTACCAGAAAGATAACTAGAGAGTTTCTACCTCCTTCCTACTACTATTTTTCACTGCCAAATTGCTGGTATTTTTGTTTCTCCTTTCTGTGTTTTGTATACTTACTGAAATTTTGGAGACCTTTCAGTATCCAACTTGACCTCTCTTCGTAAGTGCCAGTCACCTTGACCTTTATGGAGTTTTGGGTTTGCACATACATTTTTACTATTGAAGAGATCTTTAAAAAAACAGAATAATAAAATGAAGCAATTGTTACAAAAATGCCTAATTCTGCTTTTATCAGGATTATGAGTATGCCTGGTTTAAAACCCCACATTTCCATCAAAATTGAAGGTTAGAGTCTACTTATCTACCCTGGAGAATCGTAGGATTTCAAGATTATTGTTACAGAGTTTTATCAACTGCAGGCGAATGAATGTAACAACAGTCTGCAACAGCTTACAGCAATGGTGTCTTTTTGCAACAAAAGAGGCATTTGCTATGTTCATAAGGTTGCATGTCTAAAGCACTCTTGGGAAATCGAACACACAAGCCTGCATTAGACCTTACTGTTGCCTGTTAGCAGTTGGCATCAGAGCTATAAAATCTGCTATATTGAGGTGTGCTTGCTTTCTATAAAACTACCATATTCTATTGCTTTACAAAACAAAATATGTGTAAGACTGATATTGGATTAGACTCAGCCAATCTCATCTGTGTATTCCAAATCAGTTGGTTTTCCAACACTATATATTCCATTGTTTATCTGTTTATCTGTTTTTCCCATCACAAATGTTACTAAAGATCTGGAACAAGATAATCAAGATTTTTCCCAGCCAGCAAATTTACAAGTTGTCTCATTACTCTGTTGGCTGCATGGTGACTCGATAGTCAGGGAACCACCTGCTTTATCTACTAGGCAGGTTGATTTCAGAATGAGATCTCTTGCAGATCTGCATTATGGAATTCCTTTTCTAGTGTGGAAGGTGTAGTCCCTGTACTTTTAAACACCACAGCATTCATAGTCCTGTGTCTTTATTGGGCTTGTTTGTACAGTATATAAATTGGCCCTAGAAACATGAGTATGGCTTATTTATCAATTCAATTTTAGGAAGGCACAGCAAAGAAAAAACAGAATGGATCATACAGACAGCAGTGAGCAGACTGGAATCACTCAGACACAAACCTCTGGGTGGAGTGAACAACTTTTAAAGTACACGGACAGGTTTGGAAAAATGTGCCACACCAGTTTTATTTTCTCCTGCTGTCAGCAATAGTATTTCCAAAGCACTGCATCATTCCTGGGATGGTTATATCATTTTTGACCAAACTTTCTTGCTCCGTTGCTTAGTCAGTGTCTAGAGATTCTCCAGTGTTTGTATTTGAGGAAGGAGTCGGTAATTTTAAATAAAGCACACCGAAACAATAGCTGTCTTTGCATAAAGCACCATCTCCTAGAGCAGTATTTCTCAACCTGGGCAAATTTTAAGATGTGCGGACTTCAACTCCCAGAATTTCCCAAGCAGCGTTCAGTTCTTAAGAGTTGAAGTTCATGCATCTTAAAAGTTGCCAAGGTTAAGAAATACAGTCCTAGAGTATTTTATTTGAGAGATTGGTCACTTCAATATATTTCCAATGAGTTTCTCATAGACAAATGACCAAATTTTAATGTAACAAAACAAACCTCCCATTTGTTTTTGATTGTATCGATCTAAATTGCATTGGACATTTGAAACATTTTATGCTTTCCTTCTGGAGTATCAGCACGTGAGTCAAAAGTAACAACAGTGGACTTGAGCACTACTGATACCAATGTTGTATCCTCCTGGAAGACGAGAATGCCAGATATGTATTTTGAATCTGTCACCAACTAAGGGTTCTTAAGCATTACATTAATGTTGCATTTCTATATCTGACAAAGTTAGCTAAGCTCAACAACTGATGCCTTTTAATAAAATGTGTCAGTCCTTATTTTTGGTTACTATGGACTAATGCAACTCTCCTGCTACAGTTTCTACACTGGATAAACAAGAGGCTCGTTCCAAATGTTAGGATAACTTAATAGCAAACAGATATCCAGTCAGCAATTCATGGGAAGATCTACCTGACTCACCAACCTCTCCCTCTTATCTTTGCAAAATAAAAAAAAAATTAACTGGGATGGAGAGAGGAACAGTTCTGGGTAATTATGCCTTTATTCATCCAATTTTGTTGTTGTTAATTGCGAAGTCGTGTCCGACCCATCACGACCCCATGGACAACGTTCCTCCAGGTCTTCCTGTCCTCTACCATCTTCTGGAGTCCATTTAAGTTCACGCCTACTGCTTCAGTGACTCTGGACAATAATTATTTTGCACACTGCTCTTGTGGGAACAGGTCTACGACTTAGGTATACACCTGGACTCATTGCTTCTGCTGGAGAAGTAAGTTGTGGCTTTGGCTGGCATGCCAGTTGCAGTCCTACCTTAGAAGAATCTTAATTGTAGTGACTTGTCACCATCTGCTTAGATTATTGCAACACACACTATATTTGAAGATCATTTATAGTTTTCAGCTGGATCAGATTACAGGAGCCTGTGTGTCAGCTGGTCTTTGCTGGTGGGATCATATTATACCAGTAATGTGATTCTTGCACTAATTGCCAAGGGGTTTCCAGATGTAACTGAAAATGCTAACTTACATAGCTCTATATATGATTTGGCCTTTAATTATGTGCAGGATTGCATTCTCCCATTGGAATTAGTCTGGAGAGTTTAATATACTCAGGAAAATAAGTTGCATCCTTTGGAATGGGGATAAAGTTCTATAACACTGTGTGGCTGGACCAGTTCTTTGGAACAGCTTCCAAGTGCACATCTGACAGGCTCCAACCCTAATTGCATCCCGGAATTGCTCAAAACAGATAGCACTTGGGTCTTAATATTAGTTGGATTATAATTTGGCCATTTTGTTACTCTGTTTTCATTCACTGGTGGACCTTTAAGTGGTATATTTTTGTTATTGTGTATCATTTCTTGTAATCTGTTAAGAGTCCTTAGGAATGCACTACACAGAGATACTTTGCTCAAATCTATATTCAGCAAAGTGGCCCTTCAAAGATTTAGCAGCTCTACTACAGATCCCAATTTAAAAACTTTATGAACCAAGCTGAAAACGTTTAAGCATGCGCTGCTTCTCCTTGTAACACAAAGAGCATATAAGGCTACACTGTGTAGAGGCTCATGCCATCAATGTGTATTGTGCCGATCACAGAGTAAGAAAATCGGATAATACACAAGCAGTGGTTTCCTGTGAAGAACTTCTGATGGTAATATAGGCACAAACAAGGTTTTTTTTTTGGCAATTACAGTTCTTGGAGTGATTGACAGATACATTTCTGAGAAATAGTATTATGCTAGAGGCATGATCTGCAAGACAGCTACCTTACCTAATCTGTTCAAAGAAAGTTTAGTTACACACCTCATGTAAATTGCCTTAGATTTCCCAAAGGCAGAAATACAGGATATAGCTAAAAGCATAAGCTTCAAAGCTGCCAGGATAATACAGAAAAGCTGGCGCTCCGACGGTTATGTCACCGACTGCACCTCTGTAGTCTTAATAGCTAAAATAATATAATGGGGGGGGGAGTTACATTTTCCCAAGTTGGATTCGGCTCCTGATGTTTCATGGACTTGTCCATGTAGGTTTTTTTTTTTTGTTAACAAAAAGAAGTTACTATATTGTCACTGATTTCTGCCAGGCTGTACTTCAGTTTCCCAATTTAGCCTAGAGCCCTGGAATTGAACAGCAGTTTCCTGTCTAAGTAACAATGCCCTAAAGTGTAATGGTCAGTATAAGGGCAGCACACTGCCTTCAGTTTCATTTATGTGAGCCCTACTCAGGGAATTTTCTCTTCTGGGGAAGGGGAGCAAAATAGCTCTATGAAGGCTCACTGAGGTCTGGAGTCTTATGTTTCTCCTCTTAAACCCACCCAAAGTCTGGGAAAAATAAGCTCCAAAATGCAGCATCATCCACTGCAACAATCACTGACTGTACCCCTGCAGCCTCAAAAAGCTGACCAAGTATAATGTAAGTGGGCTTCCAGACAATGCTGACACCCTTGTTTTTAAAGCATCTCACAATAGGAAAGTGAGACAACGGGAAGAGTTCTCATTTCTGTCCCTTCCCCAAAATCCAAGCCTACAGTAAAGAGAACCCCACAAACTAAAACTTTATTCATTGTTCAAAGGTAAACATGTGGCTCATTTCTCGGTTTTTAAGACGACTGCTCCTGTACCTGACTTCTTCCTCCTACGGTATTACAGGACAAATGGGACAATGGGAGTGCAGTAGCATGACCTGTTCTTCAACCAATGTGTCTCTCTCAGGGGAGAGAGAGTGCACCATTCACAGTTCCTTCTGCTGGTAGGCAGGCAATAACTGGCAGATGCTGAGTCAACACATCGCTGCTCCCGAGTGAGGAAATGTACCGACTGCCAGCTCCATACAAGTTTCTGCAAGATGGCTCTAGGTTGCTCCAAAAGAAGCTGGCTAAAATCCAGGCATGAGGAAATGAAAGAACGGAGTAAGATTTCACAAGATATGAAGTCAACATCTGGGACAAGGAACCACCCAGTGGCATGCTGGCTGCTCCTTCCTTTCCACTTTATGGGAGGGGAATAGCCATCCTTGTGATAATCCTTGAGAAACAAAAGTAATTTTCAAAGAAGGAAAAACCATGTTATCTTAATGCATCCTGCTGGTCCAGTTGTTCTTTTTTCCAACTGATGACCAGAGGGAATGGAAGTCACACTCTGCATTGAAAACACATGCAGCCCAGCGTCCGAGTCTCATTCTCATTCCTTGTGCTTTTTCTTATGATGCTTCTTTTTACTTTTCCGAGATGGACTGGCTTTTTCCTTGCATTTTGCCTTCTTCCGAGCTGGCTGATTCCCATTGTCGGAATTGGTGTTGTCAGAAGCCTCCAAGTCTGTGTTCTTACGTTTCCTTTTTTTCTTTTTATCCTTGTCAGGAGGAAAAAAAAAACCTCTTGATGAATTCTATATGACAAAGCAAATATATCACTATGGGTAGTCCTCGACTTACAATCACAATTGAACCCAAAATTTCTGTTGCTAAGTGAGAGGGTTGTTAAGTGAGTTCCCCCCCACTTTATAACCCTTCTTGTCACAGTTGTTAAGTGAATCATTGCAATTGTTAAGGTTGTTAAGTGAATTTGGCTTCCCCATTGACTTTGCTAGGCAGGAGGTTGCAAAAGGTGACCAAAAGGCCCTCTGATACTGCAACTGTCATAAATATGAACCAGTTGCCAAGCAGCCGATTTCTGATCATGTGACCATGAGGATGCTGCAACGGTCAGGTGAAAAATGGTCGTAAGCCACTTTTTTCAGTGCCGTTGTAACTTTAAATGGTCATAAATGAACTGTTGTAAGTCGAGGACTACCTGTATAATATAGCTACTTCTTCGCAGTAATAAGGTCCGCCCACCCAAAAAAAGTTAAATAGAAATAGAAGCCATTGTTGGTTACATAGAACACAAACTAAACTACATTATGACAACTGGCATCTAATTATAAATTAAGCATGCTCAGTCTGTGCAGAGAAATTTCGGTAGATAATTTTGTATTTTTTAATGTCAGAGCCCTGTGAAATGTTACAAATTCTTATCTATTTAACAGCATAGCTCGGTTACGTAATATTTGAGATGCAGCTTTAAGAAACTGGTATCTTTCAGTGAAACACAAAGGCCACTCTTTTAAGACAGCAAAGTCCACATTATGGACAGAGAGGACCGCTGGTTTGAAAGAGAGGTCAAAAAGGCGCTCTCTGACCAGAGGGGGAGGGATATGACATCACCTATCTCTTGTTTACAACAATCCTTTCAGCAGTTCCAAGAAGGTTCCACACCCATTTGCACTATTCAGGTGAACCTGAGGGCACAGATAAACCTCCAAGTGGCCTCAACATCTCTCAGAAGGAGTGCTAAAGACCAGATGACTTCAAAGAATATAAATCCTTCCATTCTCCACCATTCAGTCAGAACTGAAGAAGCTTCTTGGATGAGTTGGGAACCGTCTTTAAGAAAAAACAAAGGAAGCCCAGTTGCTTCTTGAAAAACCATCTTGGGGACAATCATGACCTGGATGACTGGGAATTTGCATAGATACCTTTTTCCTTTTCTTCATAGAGTGGTGAGCTTTCTTTTCATCTTCTGCAGGGACGGGTTCATCCTCTGGTATAAGGGTGTATTTTGTCCCTCCTGGCTGCATGAAGCAATCTTTGGCGAAATGACCTGCAACAATACATACAGTAGATACATAAATAATACATAAAATAGATACATAAAATAAGGCAATGTTTTAAAGATTCCTCTTCTATATTTCCTCAAGATTTATACATGAACTCAGGATGCTATTTATACCTAAGTGCTTAAGTCTCATTACATTTATATTCTCCAATTTTGAGGAAAATGGAATAAAATGGGATAAAATACTGTAGGCCCACAAATAACGTTATATTTCCTTGGTTTCTCAACTTCTTTCAAATCCCTACCTTCTGTAACTCTCTGAAAATACACAATAAATGAAAAAAATTAAAAAAATAATCACATACCTGGACAACCACACTTCTTACACACAGTGTTCAAAACAGCTTCTAGAGTGATCTTTTGACTGGTATAATCTCTAAAGGAGCATTTTTTCCGTGCCTCTTGACTGCATACAAACACAAGAATTTTAAAAAACAGAAACACCATTAATATTGGTAGGGAAAAACCTGGTTGTATTTGGAACAATGAACACATTCTAAGTTATGTCAATAAAATTAATAAAGAAAGCTTCCTGATTCTGTATTGTCCATAATCAGAAATCTATGCAATCACAAAATTATGTTAGCAACCTTTTTATATCATTCAACTTCTCACAGCTCAAGGCAATTTATATACTAGAAAAATACATTTCATAAAAACATGCTAAAAATTACAAATGCAGCCCAGGACCACCTGCCTACACAAATGTGGATTTCAACTCCCAAAATTCCAGTTTCATTTTAAAGTTGCCAAGATTGAGAAACACAGGTCTACAGAAAAAGCCTGCCAAAACAAGATGGTTTTCACTGCTTTGAAAATCCATGCTTGTGTAGAAATAAGTAATAACAACAGAAGTAATGAAACTCATTTGCCAACACAGAGCTGAGATGGGCGGTTAAGAAGTGTGGGAGATTAATAAAAATACTTTAGCTGAAATGGCACCATTTATACATAACACAATCTGCATAACTGCAAAAAAAAACCTCATCATCCAAATCATCAAAGGTGGGAAGAATCCAACACCTTGGTATGGTGTAATCACACTTATTAAACATAAAATGTTGACTGGCTATTCTAAGGGTGGGCAGAAAATCAAGAAAGAGTGGAATGACATGTTTTATAAGACTGGATGAAATACTGAATAGAAATCTTCCACACTACATTTTGTTGTAGGATCTCTTGGTGCAGTGGTCCCCCAACCTTTTTGGCATGAGGGACTGGTTTTGTGGAAGACAATTTTTCCATAGACGGGCTGGTGGTGGTGATGGAGTGCACAACCTAGATCCCACGCATGTGCAGTTTACAGTAGGGTTAATTTGCCCACCGCTAGCCTCCAGCTATGTGGCCCAGTTCCTAACAGGCCAGAGACCGGTATTGGTCTACGGAACAGGGGTTGGGGACCCCATCTTGATGATCTCTTCTACCGAGCTCAAAACCACTGTTGGATTTTTACACTTTCTTCATGACAAGTCATACTAGAAAGATCTTTGATATAGAAAATAAAGATTAGAGGAATGGAGATTTCACTTACTCAAGGACAATATTATTGGGGTCTAAGTCCTTCCCAGTTCCTTGGTTAACAACTTTCATGGAAAGAGATAGTTTCAATTTGTCATCTTTCTTCTGAAAACATAAGGCAATACATTTTGATTTTTGTTTCATTCCCAGATACCCAGGACAAAAATTGATGTTGAGGTTATAACAATCACTTTATGGTACTATACTTTCATCATGGAAATGTATTAATATAAAATACATTAGCTACTCACAATGAGCTTTCAGATAGTATCAACCTATCTATGATTTAAGGCAGAATGTAACTGGATATTTCAGATTAGGTAGTTTGTGAAATATGTAAACAACTTTGATTGTCTGAGTTGCATATAGCTACAATAAATTTACAGAAAGGATCAATTTTTGAACTCATTTGAGATGTCTTGTAACCGCATCATTCATAAAACTCAAACTAATTCAATTCCATGTTTATTTAAAATTCCAATGAAATTAATGTTTTCTATGAGACTTTAGATTTTCAGATTGCACACTTTTTCAGGAGCTTTCCCTGTGAAAATGTAAGGCTGTGATATCATTCCTCTTTAATAAAAGTAGTTGTGAAGTAAATGTGAAATCTTTATTTGGTAGATATCAGTAAATGGAGCAACATTAAATGGAGAAAAGAATATTCAAAGTGGGTGTGAAAAAGAGGTTGGAGGTGGTAGAGACTTCCAAACAGGTGGGATGTCAAACTGTAAACCGAAAACACTTATTCCGGAAACCGTTATTCTCCTCTCTTTTATAAAATAAAAGACGATCTTTAGTTATTAAAAGATTTTGACGGATACAAGATGTTTCTTTGATGAGTGTTTTGTTTTCTACTCATTTTCCCATAACACAAGTAGTTCTCAACTTACAACAGTTCACTTAGTGACTGTTCAAAGTTACAACAGCACTGAAAAAAGTGACTTATGACTGTTTTATGTCTATTGTAGCATCACCATGGTCACATGATCAAAATTCGGATGCTTAGCAATTGGTTCACCTTTTGTGACCTTCTAACAATCACCTTTTGCGAACTTCTAACAACCGAAGTCAATGGGGAAGCCAGATTCACTTAACAACCATATTACTAACTTAACAACTGCAGTAATTCACTTAATTGTGGCAAGAAAGGTTGTAAAATGGAGCAAAATTCACTTCACTGTCTCACTTAGCAACATAAATTTTGGGGTCAGTTGTGGTCATAAGCTGATGGCTAGCAGTATAAGCTTTGTGTAAGCCACCAATATTACTTGGGAATGGGAACTTTAACACTTGTAAGTGAAAAAGTAACACAATTCACTCTACTAACAAAAGAATGTCAACCAAATAATCACCATATAATTAATCAAACCTTGTTTTTGGGTTCCTGGAATTTTTATAAATGCTCCATATTCTGTCACAGAAGCAATCTGTAAAAAACAAAACATACAACTACTCACAAAAGAAGCAACATTTATTAAGAAGAGTAGAATAGAGCTGGAAGGGACCTTGGAGGTCTTCTAGTCCAGCCCCCTGCTCAAGCAGGAGGACCTATACCACCTCAGACAAGCATACTGTCCCCTTACCCTGCTCCCAGTAAACAACAAAAGCTAGCACAATATTCCCAGTTCTGTCTATTTGATACTAAAGATCAAGTATCCTCTTGAGAAATCCTCCTTAAACTAAAATTCTATGAATACTTGGGAATAAACACTATCCACTTTGGCATGGCTAAGTTGTGAATATAGAGTTTAATCTACCAAGCTTTCGTCAAGTGCACTTGACATCATCAGGGTTATTTATATATATATATATATATATATATATATATATATATATATATATATATATATATATATATATATATATATATATATATATATATATATATATATATATATATATATTTCAAAATTTGGATTGCTAACAAAGAATTAAGGGAGTACTGGGATAGCTATTTCTAACCTTATTTGGTTTTCATCAGCCAGACATATATAAAGTTCCTAAATCTATTGATTAGAAACATCCTAGTCACTTATATGAAGGATTTTTTTAAAACAATGGACTCATGTGTTTATTGAAAAAAAAACATCTTAGTATCTATTCAACCTATCTGAACTTAAAACCTTTTTAACTGTGAAAACACATTTTTTTGTTATGTATTCAATCTTATCACCCTGAAAATTAACTATTTGGAAGCATACCTCTCCTTGGAAAATAGCATAGAGTTCCGGAAGCTCATCCATTGCTTTCAACTACCACAGAAGGAGTTTATTCAAATCTTTTGGTCAAGTTTCCTTTTCTATATTCTATATTATTCCTCGGCAGCTAAAAAAAAAAAAAGGTTAATGGAAACATATTAAAAATAACACAAGTCAGTAAAGAACGGTCCAAGCTCTTCTTTTCCATTCCGGTCAACGTGTACCTTGCTCCCCCCTCCCCCCCGGCAGCGGATGATGGGAGATGTAACCTTAACCCTTCACTTCAATTTCAGGTCCAATGTTGGACTAAACTACCATTACCTCACCAGAAAAACCCTGAGGATAAAGTGACAGGCGTTGTTATACATACATACATACATACATACATACATACATACATACATACATACATACATACACTGTGTGTGTGTGTGTGTGTGTGTGTGTGTGTGTGTGTGTGTGTGTGTGTGTGTGGGGAACTCTTCTTCGGTTTAACTTCTCTCTAAATTTGAACTTTGGCGGAAGGGGCGGGAAGAACGGGGCTGAGGGTAGCATGGTGGCAGTCCTATGGCTAATCCTGAGAGGAGATTGTCGGAAGAGGCAATGGGTGGCGGGAGTCCGGATGGCAGCCTTCTTCCGGCTTTCAGCCAATGGGGAGACAGAATAAACCTAGGGTCGAGCGAGAACCTCGACCATTCAGCGTTCCCCATGTTAAGCACGGCGACGTCAACGCTACGTCTTGGACCTCCCGCCTCTTCGCCCGCGTCTTGCACCAATCGGCGTCGGGAAAGGCCGTGCGCTTTGCATAAAGGCGCCAATGAGGAGAGGAGGGCGTGGCCTCTCCGCTCTGGGCCCAGTGTGGCGGCGTTGAGGGAAAGCGATGATTGACCCACAGAAACGGAAGGCTCCCGGGCCGGATACGGCTTTGGTGGCAGCGGCGGCAGCTGCTAAGAAACCCCGCCATGAGCTCATCTTGGGGCCGGGTCCCGGAGCCGGGCAACCGCCTCCGGGCGCCTTGTTGCAGGCGGTGAGTTTCTCCGGGGGACGCTGCTGAGGTTTCCGGTGAAATGAATGTTGGAGGCGGAGCGGTTAGCCAGCTTCTTTTCCCCGGAATTGTTTGATCTTATGTGTAAGCTTTTGAGAGCAGGCAACAGAATTTCATTTTTAATGTGTGCCAGTGTGCCCACAGTAAAAAAAAAAAAAGACAATAAAGATTATCTTAATTAAGCAGCATTTCTTAATTCTCATATCTTTTTGCTAAACCGATTCAGAATTTTATTCCGCATTATTATCAACACTTTAGCTCAGGGGGCTTCAAACTTGGCCCTTCTATGACTTGTGGACTTCAACTCCCAGAATTCCTCAGCCAGCGTGCCTGGCTGAGGAATTCTGGGAATTGAAGTCCACAAGTCATAGAAGGGCCAAGTTTGAAGACCCCTGCTTTAGCTTAACATTAGGTTACCCACTTGCTGTGTTTTGGGGTAGAAGATGATGGTGGTAATAATAACGCAGTGCCTTCTACACCCATCAAATAACATCTGCCTATGGGGTTGTTGTTGCTTTCTGAGCTTGGCTGTTTTCCTGCAGATGTCTCATTACCCAACTAGGTAACATCATCAGTGGTAGAAGGGAGTGGGGATTGCTCTCTGATATTACCTAGTTGGGGAATGAAACATTTACAAGAAAACAACCAAAGTTGAGAGAGCAGCAAGGATACCACAGTTCAGCCCTGAACTACAAATATTCTATTAGAACATCTGCCTAACCCAGGCCCTGGGGAAGGACTCAACAGATGGATAAAATGACAGATCTAGTCTAAACTTCTGGCTGAATGTGCAACAAACCATAATAGTCACCACTATATTAAACTTCCACGCTGCTCAACTCTGAACAATGATTATCCTCTATTATTAAACTTTCTATTAAAGATGTTGACTTGTTTATACATGTATTTGCTGCATTTTCCCAAATGTCGCTTAGTGAATGCTATACAAATTTGTTCAATTTACATAGGATGTTAATGCCCACATTAACATATAAGCAAACATAAAAATGATGAAAAGTCTTGATTCCATTTTAGTTATTTTGCAATTATTTTTCATTATTTCTGATGAGAAGAATGACTCAGTATGATAGTGTGTAGAAAAAGGATTTTCATCGTAGTGATGGTAAGGCTTTTCCAGGATGGGTCTACCAACAGGTATAAGGTTGGCCCTGGGTAGATCATTTCTTATATTTAAATTTGGAGATTCCACACTCTTAGAAAATTGTAGTGTTGGAAAAAGTTAATTTCAGCCATTGAATCCAATCATTAGTTTAAAAGAGGTATTCAAATTAAAGCATTCTTGATAGATGCCTGTCTAGTCTTTGTTTGAATGCATCCCCAGCAAGAAAGCTCACAATCTTTCTAAGTATTTGATTTCACAGTCAAATTGCTTTTATTCTTTAAAATGTTTTTCCCTTAATACTCCTTGGAACCTCTTTTCCTGTAATTCATGTTTTTATTCTATTTTATTCTCTGAAGTGAAAGAAATAATCTTGAACTTTTTCTATGTGAAGCAGAACAAATAATAACAGTAAACTTGTTGATCTCTCTTTTTGTGCAAATGCTCGTACTAATAGAATAAATGTTTATAGATTTTTAATCCAGTCTTTCCTAATTCATTGTCTGCAGTTGGACCTTCAGTTTCTGCTACTTTAGCCATAGCTGCATGTTTGCATTTTCCAATGATTAAAATATTTTTCCTGTTTTCTTAGTAGTAGTGTCTGACCCTTTTCAAAATGTATAGATCAGTTTTCTTTCTGACTTATTTTTTTTCTATCAACAGTTTGTGTTTATTTATGTCTTCTGTAATATGTTGCATTTTCTTTTTATTTTAGGGCCCTCCAAGATGTTCCTCCTTGCAAGCACCCATAATGTTGCTTTCTGGTCATGAAGGAGAAGTTTATTGTTGCAAGTTCCATCCTAATGGAGCCACCTTAGCCTCAGCTGGGTTTGACAGGTTGATACGTAAGTCAATTCTGTAATCTGTGATAGGCTTGTTAAAGCTTGCAGATTAAGTTAACTAACTTTATTGTCATTTACAAAAGAATGCTTTACCTTTTTCATCAGGCATGTCAAACTCGTGATGTCACACGACTTATTGGAGCTTTTTCCCCATTGCTGGCAATGGGATGGGCGTGGTTTTGTCATGATGCGTCTGGCCCATGGGCCGGCAGATTTACATCATTTAGATTAACCAGAATTTTACTTTCTCTGTGCTTCTGTCTCTTCCTAAATATGTCAATTAAGATAGATATTAACAGCATTTTCACTACTTGCAATCTTATATGCAATAACATCTGCCTAATTGAAGACTATTAAATGCCTTTGATTTGAAATGGTTGTTTGATATATTCCAGTTTTCAGGGGAAATACTAAGGCTTGATCCTCTCATTTCAGTACTATGGAATGTGTATGGTGACTGTGATAATTATGCCACTTTGAAAGGTCACAGTGGAGCAGTTATGGAATTACATTACAATACTGATGGCAGGTGGGTGTTTAAATTTTTTTCTACAGTTTGTAGAATATTCTGAAATATTTCTCAGCTTTTGAAAACAAGTAGTGGTCTGTGATTTGACCAAGAAAACTCAATAGGAATGCAGAAAACTACCATCACATCATATTCATATGTTGTGTTTCATTGTTTCTATGATTTACTGTTGCTTTTCCTCTTTTTTTTTTTAAAAGGATCCTTGAATTTTTTAAAAAATATTTTGTTACTAAAATCCTTAAATAGCTAAAAAAAAAAGTATATATATATGTGTGTGTGTGTGTGTGTGTGTGTGTGTATAAAATTCAAAAAGCACATTACATTACAGAAAATAAAACCCTACATGTTTTGCAATAAATCAGACATGTCAAACTCACAACGTCACGTGATGTCATGTGACATCATGATTTTTTTCCCATTGCCGGCAATGGGGTGGACACGGTTTCACTATGATGCATCTGGCCCGCAGGCCGGCAGTTTGACATGCTTGCAATAAATGACTCAGTTTTTAAACAAGAAATAAACCATGGTAATAGCAAATCATATTCTTTAGAGTTTACATTGGATTGATAACTTTTAAGTGTTGAGAAGTACCAGCTTTTTAAGATTTGTAATCAGTTGCCTTTTTTCTCAGCATGCTGTTCTCGGCCTCCACGGATAAAACAGTAGCAGTATGGGATAGTGAGACAGGAGAGAGAGTGAAAAGACTTAAAGGACACACTTCATTTGTCAACTCCTGCTATCCAGCAAGACGTGGACCTCAGCTGGTTTGCACAGGGAGTGATGATGGGACAGTGAAGGTCAGAATGCTTTATTATATTCTTGCAGAATAACAGTGAGGGCTAGTTTAATGTAGTTTTAATTACAGAGCAAGAAACCTGGAGACTGAGTTCTAGTTCTGCCTTAGGCAAAAAGCTAGCAGGATGACTTTAGCCAATCTTCCTGGTTGTCTGTTAGAAACCAATGACTTTCAGCCTCTTTCAAATAGGTGGTGCCATTTTTCCCCCCTTGTTTTAACGCTTGGAATTGTGATACTACTTATATATAACTTTGTGGCAGTATTAAATCAATGTTATCTGGGAAGTTTGCTATTCCCCCCCCCCAATAGATGCACATATAGATTGATCACCTATGTCAAAACAAGCCTGAAAGAGAAATACTTGGAATTTTAGGAGAAAGTCTGGGGTGTTCAACCTTGGCAACTTTAATACTTGTGGACTTCAACTCCCAGAATTCCTCAGCCAACATGTGCTGGTGGTATTGTCACCAAAATATTATGTACAGATAGGTTCTTTGTCCTGTTTGTCACCCATATAATGAATTTGAAAAAGGGCTTTGTTTTGGAGGGAGGGGGATTTGCTTCTGGATGCATGTCTCTTGTATGGTTATACATGCTCCATCTGTAGATCTTGGGGAATGACACACAGTGTAACTGTATTTTCATTGCTCCTCCCCTACACAGTGACCTTCTGTTCATAATTGGTAGGTTTAAGAGAAGTCCTGATAAATGTCACGCAATCTTAGCGTGTCTGTATGTGTTTGTGTGTGTATATGTATGTATGTATGTATGTATATATGTATATATATATGATAAAACCAATAAATATTGATCACCAAGAGGAAAGTAATAAATAGTAAAAAATTTAATGAGCCAAGCTTTCGTTGGGCCCACCCAACATCATCAGGGCTTTAAAAGTAGTCACTGGGAAAGAGCTTTCCGGTGACACGTTCCAGAAGCCGGATGCAGGCTGTTAACATCTTATAAAAGCTCTTTCCCAGTGACTACTTTTAAAGCCCTGATGATGTTGGGTGGGCCCAACGAAAGCTTGGCTCATTAAATTTTTTACTATTTATTACTTTCCTCTTGGTGATCGATATTTATTGGTTTTATCATGGATTTACCCAAGAGTCGAATTTTTAGCTTTATATATATATATATACACACACACACACACATTTATGTGTATATTTATATTAAACACCTTTTTCTTCTCAGCTCTGGGACATCAGGAAGAAAGCAGCTGTTCAGACCTTTCAGAACACCTATCAAGTATTAGCTGTGACCTTCAATGATACCAGTGATCAGATAATATCTGGTGGTATCGACAATGATATTAAGGTCAGTTGACTTTGTCCAGGAAGTGAAGCTCCATATATTTTAAAACTGATTTGTTTTTTCCTCTTTCATTTAGTGCTGTAAAATAAAAAAAGGCAGCACCAGAAAAAATGGGTTAAAAGCATGAATGGTATGGAGGTTTTCTAATTTCCTCTGGCATTTGAAATGTAAATTCTTTTGTGAGGGTGAGTAGGCAGTGCTAGTTCGCTCTGATATTTCAGGTTTTTCTAAGAGCAGGAATAAAAAATAGGTTTGGCTAGATGCCCCATAGGTAGGCCATGAATAATGTGGGGCTGCGGGAGGGGTGGCATCTTCTTCCACCCCTCTAAAACTGTCTTTTGGATTTTGTTCCTAAGCATGTGATTGTTTTTAGTATAGGTAATCCTTGACTTATGACCACAATTGAGCCCAAAATTTCCATTGCTAAGCAAGACAGTTAAGTGAATTTTGCTCCATTTTGCAAACTTCCTTGCTGCTGTTGTTAAGTGAATCACCACAGTTCTTAAATTAGTAATATGGATACTAACTGAATCTGGCTTCTTCATTGACTTTGCTTGTCAGTAGATGATTACATGCAACCCTCATAAAGACATGCCAGTTGCCAAGTGTCTGAATTTTGATCATGTGACTGGGGATGGTACAATGGTCATAGGTAATGAAAAATGGTCATAAGTCACTTTTTTCAGTGCCGTTGTAACTCTGAGTGGTTGCTAAATGAATGGTTGTAAGTTGAGAACTACCTGTAGAACCAATTGCTAGAAAGTAATCCCTGTGTCTGGAATATCGGCGTAGGCTAGAGTCTTTTCACTACAACATAATGTGACACTTTTAGGGCCTCATTTTATTTATGGTAGTTGCTGGTACATCTTTCAAGTGTAAAATGCCAGGCCTATGTTAAATCTCTTAAAGGTGTGGGACCTTCGTCAGAACAAGCTAACTTACACAATGAGAGGACATGCGGATTCTGTCACTGGTCTCAGCCTAAGTGCAGAGGGCTCTTACTTGCTTTCCAATGCCATGGACAATGCAGGTAATCGCTTTTTCCCTATTCTCTTTCCCATATCTCCAGGTACGGCATCCTCATTGGTTGCTCATTAGTGGCAAGCAAATGAGAATGTTGTACATCTATTTAATTAAAAGATTTATAAGGTCACCCATCTTGTAAAACACAGCTGTGGGCAGCTGACAACAATAATAAAACTATGAACAACAATAACAAGAAAAAATGGGCCAGATCTTTCATTTTGTATCCATTCAACAACACAATTCCTGGACTTCAACCCTATTGTCCAAGTGCCTGGAGGGAAAGTCAGCCTTTTGGCTTTGACTTGCAAAGTGCAAGAATGAAGGACAATGTTTCATTCATATAACTAAAAGCTCTGCATCTGTATAGTAGGTATATTCGTATTTCCTCCTTACGAGCTGCCGGGATAATAACAGTTAATCTATTTGTCAGAAGTTCATTTACAGATACACTGCTTTCTGGCCAACTGAATTTTTGGTGCCACCCTTGTCAACTTAGCCAGTTTGGGTTTAGACCAGGGGTCCCCAACCTTTTGGGCACCAAGGACCAGTTCCGTGGAGAGAGGATTTTCCGTGGACCGGAGGGGTGCATGGTTTTGTGTGCTGCCTCCATCCAGTGGATGGGGCTTTGCTTGTTTGTGCGGCCCGGTTGCTGGCGTGCCACGGCCCGGTACTGGTCCATGTACTGAGGATTGGGGACCCCTGGTTTAGACCCCTGGTGTGCCATGTCTATACAGGCAGTCTTCAACTTACAATCACAGTTCGGACCAGAATTTCCATTGCTCGACAGGGTGGTGAAGGGAGTCATGTCCAATTTTATAACATTTTTTTTTGCCATGGGGGTTAAGCAAATCACTGCAGTTATTAAGTGAATCATGCAGTCATTAAGCAAATCCGGCTTCCCCCATTGATGTGACTTGTAAGAAACTGGCTGGGAAGATTCTAGATAGCGATAGCATGACTCCAGGATGCTGCAGCCTTCTAAATATATGCCAGTTGTCAAGTGCCTGAATTTTGATCACATGGCTGTGGGATGCCACAATAGTCATAAGTATGAGGACCGGTCGTAAATCACTGTTTTCAATGCAGTTGTAACTTCAATTGCTAAACAAATGATTGCAAGTCAAGGACTGCCTGTAATCACATGGCCATGGTAAATAGTTGACTAACATGGTTTTAGGGCAGGGGTCTTCAAACTTGGCCCTTTTATCAACTCCCAGAATTCCTCAGCCAGCGTGCCTGACTGAGGAATTCTGGGAGTTGAAGTCCACAAGTCATAAAAGGGCCAAGTTTGAAGACCCCTGTTTTAGAGCAACAGTGGTGTATGGATGAAAATTAAGGAAGAGAGATAGGATTGAGTGACAACTTTCTGGTGGAATCCAAGGAGTAAGAAGAAAAGATAAAGAAAAATTAAGAGAAAATCCTACAATGATTGTTATGTCATTTCCTGGTTCAAAGTGAGAAGTAATTTTAAATTATCCTCCTTGATTGAACAATAATGAGTGAAATTTGGCATTAGTGTTGGCTTTAAGTATTTGGCTTTAAGCTGTCCTCACAGGGATCTTTAAACTTGGCTGTCAGGCAGAACTGAGATGATAAATCACGTTACATGTTGCAACTTTTATTTGTTGTTATTGTTGTTATTGCGTTAAAATTACACTTTAGCAGCTGGCTGGCAATTAAGCCTGCATTATGAGCCAATATCTAAATAATTAGCTCTGGATGCTACATGTTGGTTTTGGTTTTGTTCTAGTTCGCATCTGGGATGTTCGGCCCTTTGCTCCCAAAGAAAGATGTGTGAAGATACTCCAAGGGAATGTGCATAATTTTGAGAAGGTAAGTGAAGTGTTAGCTGAAGGGGTGTCTTGGGGTGTCTTGGGGTGTTAGCTGAAGGGGTGTCTTGGGGTGTATTTGTATTTTATTGGTTGTTAGCCGCCCTGAGTCCGTAAGGAGAAGGGCGGGGTAAAAGTTTAATTAATAAATAAATAAATAAATAAAACATTGCTTGTTTATGGCTGGTAGCCGAAAGTTAATTGATGAATAAATGGCTTTTAAAATTCGGGATTCTTTAACTGTTTAACAAGGCCTGTATTGGAGATTAACCTGTGGAGTGAAATTCCAATTAGAGCTGCTGCAAAAGATCTCCCTTTCCCCCAATGCAGTTGTTATTCTTCTATAAATTAACCATCTTGACATTCACAATCTATTTCACAGTGAGATAACAAGGTGCTTATAGTTCTGGCAATAAAATATGGTATATAACTGCAGCCCAAGGTTTCAGAGAAAAACCATTCCCAAAGTATTGTTAATATCACAAGCCCTGGTAGATTTAATTTCAAATAAAAATAAGAACATGAAATATGCATGGAATTGGACCATATTTTCTTGTTTGTTAGAACCTTTTGCGATGTTCCTGGTCACCAGATGGAAGTAAAATAGCTGCTGGATCTGCAGACAGGTAAAAATCTGTTTTAAATGTTAACATTTAAAAGCCCCCTCCCCCCCTTTTTTTTAGCATTAAGGAGGATACTTAAAACCAAGGTGATCCAGAGAGTGTCTTGGTTAGTGTCATTTGTAGTGGCTACCTTTATTTTATTTTATTTATTGTATTTTATTTAGTCATTTGTCTTATATGTTCCTTTTAATTATAATACACAGAATTGTGTTTTGATCTGCAGGGTATAAAATGCATAACAAACCGTGTGCCTGTAACAGTTTTGCAGCAGTACATATAGATTCATGGATTCTAACTCCAATTATACAGGGTCGTGTTAAGTAGCTGCAATTCACTGGTCTGAAACTAGCTTGTGAGGTTGGCAGATTAGGGCCATACTGGAAACTGTTTAGTTTTCTACTAGCACGACAAATTAATACTAAAATGCAAATCTAAACACAGTGATATTTAATGTGGATAAAGCAACATGTGTTCAGCAGCTTCTGTATTATATATTGTTTGAGAATCAGAAGGGAACTGGTCTCTTATGCGCAGGGAGGCCTTTATGCGTGTTTGTCATCATACACAGGTTTGTTTATGTGTGGGATACAACCTCCAGAAGAATCCTCTACAAACTTCCAGGCCATGCTGGTTCAATAAATGAAGTTGCATTTCATCCAGAAGAACCAATAAGTAAGTCCTTCCTATGCATGGACAGCAAACTTGAACTAATGTGCCGATTTGTGAGATTACCCTTTTTAATAACCTGTTAACATACCCCGAAGAAGCCCTTCTTCCTTGCTGGTTTATTCTCTGTTAGGCTTGCCTTGATGCTTAGGTTATAGATATTTAAAGAAATGTCTTAAAACAGGGCTTTTCAACCTTTTCACCCACTGTACCACTTTTAGGATAAGGCAATATCTGTTCTGTCCCCGTTCCGACCCACACACCCAAACAGCCAGCCGAGGGTTAAAGACTTCTCCAGACACCACTTCACCGATAAGAAACTTGGCAGCAGCTCCGTAGCTGCCTGCCAAGACCTTTTACTCCAAGCACACAGAAACAAAAACAATACACACAGTTTAAAGCCACAGCAAACTACTTTGCCAGAGATTCAGCTTTTGTCCGTCACAGAGGTCCAAATGGCCACCACCACCCTTTTATAGCCTGTGGGGTGTGGTCCATTGACTCAGCTTAATCTCTGGCACGTCTCTTTTTCTGCTGCGCACGCTTGTCGCTCCTACGCTGGCGTGGATCCAGCCACAACTTCTCTTCCTCATTATCCGACACACCTGGCTCCTGGCCCATCTCAGAAACACCTGGCTCCTGGCCAATCCCAGAACCACCTGGCTCCTGGTCAATCTCTTCTCCGTCGGGAGACACCTGAGGCATTGCCAAAGAGGAGGGTCCTGGAGAGGGAGGCCTGGCCATCTCCTCTCCTTCATGTTCGGAGCCTTTTTCCTCCGATAAGAGGGGCTCATAAGACGGAGCCACAACAATATCCGAGTACCACCAGTTGCCCAGCAAGGTGTCAAAAAAGTAGCGAGCGGGGAAGTGGCTCATTCATTGCTGCAGCCAGCCCCGAGGATTTAATATTTATTTAATAGTGTACACCCCTGAAACCCTCTTCCAGCTGAGCAACAAAAGCTAAAGCGCCTTTCCCTTCCCATCCAATACCTCGGCACCCTGACAGGCAGCAGATCTCCCAACATCGAATCCAATTTTAATTCAGATTCCAACATAATTTACAAATCCATCCAGATCTGGGACTGCCCTGCACTTTTCTGAGCCACAACTAAACCAAGAAATTTTTTTTCCCCTGCATCCCCTCACAGAAAAAAGGGTTTAATTCCTTCCTCCTGCAGGCAAGCTCCTACTTTAGGGGATTTCACAGCCACGCGGGCCAAGAGTTTTCTCAGCCGCCGAGATCGAAAGGTGCCTCCTCTGGACAGGCTTCTTCACACTCCCCAGGAGCACAACGGCGTTTCCCTGAGGGCCCCTATGGAAATCCGGCTTGCTGAGCTTCAGCCAAGGTCAATTGGAGCCGCAGCCCGGAGCCATGCGTAGCCCCGGGCATTTCTTTTACGTGCACGGCGGAGCCTCAGCACCAGGCTGGACCCCGGGAGGCTCCTCAGCGCCTAGCCAAAATGCAGCTGCAGCAGCTCCAGCCCCTCCCCAGGTGCAAAGGGGCGCTTTTCAGGCTCCAGCCCCATTGCTGCATTGACCTGCGGACGAAAACGGGCCTTGCTCTCCAGACGAGAGCCGAGCCCAGCGACCAGAGGGCAGCCATGAGAGCGGCAGAAAGGACGGGGAGGGTCTTGCCGGGGAGGGTCACCCCATGCCCTCTAATGGTGGTCAGAGCGACGACATGCAGCTGCCAATCCTGCCCTGCTTAGCTTGCCCATTCTTATTCCCCTCTCCCAAAAGGCGGTGCTGCAAGCAAGTGAGATGAGCAGGAGCACGAGATTGGCGTTTCTGAGCACACGCCGATTCGCGCCCTTGCCCATCTCGCTCGCTTGCCAGCGCCCACAATCTGCCCAGCCTCCCCTCTGCCTGCTTTGCGCAGCTCCTCCTGGGCCCCCTGCCATTAACCCTCCCGCCACCATGCAGGGTAAGGTTGGCGCCCCCACCCCCGCCAGATGCCCTTGCCTCCCCAAAACATTTTTTACTCACCTGCTTTCAGCTGCACTCCCTTTCTCCTTTTGCTTCTCTGCCGTCGCCCTGTGTTTGTGGGTAAAAAAGAAAAAAAAGTTCCATAAGACTTTCTAACTTTTCGTGAGAAATTAGAAAGTCTCATGGAACTTTTTTTTTTTTTGTCTCACAAACACATGAAGGCTGAGAAGGACAGGAGAAAAGGAATGCTGCTGAAAGCAGGTGAGTAAAAAAAAACACTTGGGGGAGGTGAGGGCATCTGGGTGGGGGTGGGGGGGACTCAGGCAATGTGTCGTGCAGCTCCAACGGAATCTCCACTGAAGACTGCTTGAGGCTGCCTGCTACCCCCAAGGCCGTCGCCAATCAGCTGGAGCTGCGTGCTTTGCTCCTGGGCTCTCAGTAGGACCCAGGCAATGTGCAGTTCCAGCTGACTTTGCCACAAGCCTGTGCGGCGTTGCTGCCGCTTCACCTCATCCACTTTTACCCCTTTTTAAACTTTTTTTTAACTTTTTAAAAACTTTTTTTAACTTTTTTTTTTCAACCCGTTCACGTACCACCAGCCAGGTGCTTGCGTACCACTGATGGTAACACATACCACTGGTTGGAAAGCCCTGCCTTAAAACACAGGTATTTAAACTGGTAAAATAAAATGAGCCCAGAATGATTAAAATGGAGCCTTTCACTTTCCTTTAACCAATTCTGTGTTCCTTTCCATCAGTACTTTCTGCGTCTAGCGACAAAAGACTGTACATGGGAGAGATCCAGTGAGGATGGAAAGAAGAGGACCACAGATTAATTCGGAAGATTTGCAGAGCTGGATTGCTTCCATCCAATTTGAAAAGAGAAGGGGAAGAAGACCCATGAAGAGACTACAACTGTAATGTTTCCTAGGCTGCGTTAAATCATCATTTATATCCTGAAAGATCTTTTCTTGAATTGTGTAGCCATATTTACAGAAGCCTGAAACACACAGCAGCCCAGCTCCATAATTTTGATGGATGTACAAATGCTTTATTTTAGAGTTAAAAATGTGCTCTGTTTTGAAATTGTTTTGACCATGGTAAAGTGGGGAAGTAGCATTTAACAGTGCATGCTTCCCTAAGATTTGTATGTCATTTTTATATTAAAAAAATGAAATGCCTTGTAAAAATTGCAGGTAGAATTTATTGACATATACATCTTTTGTCAATATATAACAGTCCAGGGGCAGAAGACTGAGCTAGATACGGCAAAGTTATTGTATTAAATAATCCTTACAGTAGGTAGCAGCGTGCTGGTAATATTTCATACAGATCTCATTAAGATTGTTTTTATTGGATTTTTTAACTCAAAAGGATAGCCTAAACCAGTGATGGCGAACCTTTTAGAGACCGAGTGCCCAAACTGCAACCCAAAAGCCACTTAAGTATCGTCGGGTGCCGGGTGGGCATGGCCCATTGGGTGGGCGTGGCTGCGGTGGTAACGGCAGACTGGGTGGGACGAAAAAGTTCAATCAATCAATTCCAACTTTGCGAGATCTTTTTTTCCCCTGTAAGAAGTTGAAATTGATTGATTCATTGAACATTTTTTTTTTGCACACGGAGGCGAAGGGCTAAAGCGAAAAGGTTTTCGACGACGACGCGTGTGCCTACACAGAAGGCTCTGCGTGCCACCTGTGTGGCCTAAACTGAATCGCAGAATCATTTTTCTACTCAACAGAAGTTCAGAAAATGATTAATTGATAACAATGATATACTGTATGGAATCGTGGATGTATTCATTCACATAAGTCTGGTTCTTTCTCAGTAAACTGTCTGTTCTTTCCATTACAGGTAGTCCTCGACTTACAACCCAAAATTGTTGTTAAGTGAGACATTAATTGTGTTTTGCCCCATTTTACAACCTTTTTTGCCACAGTTACCGTATTTTTCGCTCTATAAGACGCACTTTTTTCCTCAAAAAATGCGGCGTGGAGGAGAAAAGAAGACGGCTTGATTTACAAGGAGAAGACTGCTGGGCTGCGCTGGAATTCAGCTTACCTGTTGCTGTGACAGGCGGCAAGCTGCTTGTAGAGAAGACAGCGAGCTGCTTGGAGAGAAGGCGGTAGATGGCGTCCCCCTGCCCGTCGCCTAGCAACTGGTCTCGCCGGGCTCTGCAGTGCGCATGTGCAACTTTTACCTCACACTCACTCATTCACTCATTCATTCATTCAAACACCTGAGGTAAAACACTGCCAGCTCCCATTACCATTAGCTTAAAGTGACAAAGAAAAAAAATGGACTTTGTGCATGATATGTATATAAATTAATAATTGATAAGGTAACTGGAATCAATTATTACTTTATACATATGATGCCCAAAGGCCATTTTTTTTGGTATATTTTTGTCTCTTCGCTTTTGTCAGCCATATGTTGTAATTTCTTTAACCACTTGACATCCGCAGTGTTACGCCCCCTTTATTGCACAGACATACCACATAGTACGAGCAATCAGGTTAACGCACTTTCACCGTCACATATAGAGCTTTCATTTAAGACTATTTGATCGCTGCTGCGACTTTTATTTTTTTTTATATTAACGAAAAAGTATTTAAAAAAATGTTTTTTTTATTTTCTGATGTAAAAAAAAAAAGGTTAAATGTGTTTAACCAGCTGTGGACCGGCGTATTGTAAATATACGGCAGCCTCGCAGGCTGGTTGTTCCCAGCCGCCGTCTCCTGACGGCATCTCGCGTTGCGAGACTTCCAGGGGATGGCATGCACATGCACTGGGAGCCGCATGAAGTAGGGACGAATCGATGGTCCGTCTCTACTTCACGATTGCTCTCGTAGACTGCAACGGCCAGCAATCTGAAAAAAAAAACGTTAAAGACACAGAACACATAATAAAAAAATTCTTTTTAAACACATATAACTTTTTTTTTACAACAGAAAATAAAAAAACATTTTTTTTCAACTTTTACTATACTTTTTCATTAATATATAAAAAAAATTAAAGTCGCAGAAGCGATCAAATAGTCTTAACCTGATCGCTCGTACTATGTGGTATGTTCGAGCACTAAACCCTTAAAGTCGCAGAGCGCAAAATCTCTTAAAGGGGCCTGGTCATTAAGGGGGCGGAACACTACGGGGGTCAAGTGGTTAAAAATAATTTTTTTATTGCCGTAAGTGTTGTGTGTGTGTTTAACTTTTTTTTTACAGGTCACTTTCTCTTTTTTTCTAGCAGTTTCTTTCTGCCAGAACGATAGGTAAGCAGAGAGAGACAATCAGTCCCTCCCTACTTGTTGCGGAGTGCACCGTCCTCTTACGGAGACGGCGGCTGGGATTAACCAGCTTGCGAGGCCGCTGTATATATTTACAATACGACGGTCCGCAAGTGGTTAATATGACCGCAATTCTGTTTGCTTTGAGGCACAAGAGTGTGTTTTTCTGATTGAATTAAGACAACGCTCTGTGATAACGTAGTCCTTCAGCGCTCAGTGATAATGCAAATGGTCAGCACTCAGTGGTAAACATTGGATACACATTCCTGACAGTTCCTTCATTACTGTATTTTCTTGCAGAAAAATATCACCTCATTCTACATACAAGGATGATAAAGCAGAAAAGGCTAGATATAAAATTCCTTTTAAACTGGAGGTAGTAAAATATGCTAAGGACCATGGAAATAGAGCAGCGGAAAGACATTTTGGGCCGCCTCCAACTGAAAAAATGATAAGAGAGTGGAGGAAGCAAGAGGATCAGCTGCAAAAAGCAGATAAAAGTAAGCACACTTTTCGTGGGCATGCAGCAAAGTGGCCACAGTTAGACGTGGACATGAAAGAATGGATTACACATCACCGGAATAATGGCTTCTCAGTCTCTACAAAAATGATCATATATGAAGCCAAACGCATTGCTTTAGAGAAAGGCATTCAGGATTTTACTGGATCACCTTCGTGGTGCTATAGATTTATGAAGCGATGTGGCCTTGCTATGCGCACAAAAACTAGAATTGCGCAAAAAATGCCACAAGAATATGAATCTAAGATCCTATCTTTCCATAAATTTGTAATTGATGCTAGGATGAAAAATGCTTTTGAAACTGGCCAGATTGGAAATATGGATGAAGTCCCGCTAACCTTTGATGTGCAATCTAATAGGACTGTTGATCTGAAAGGTGCCAAAACCATCACCGTGAAAACCTCAGGACATGAGAAAAGCCATTACATGGCTGTATTGTCCTGCTGTGCAGATGGCACCAAATTGCCACCCATGTTAATCTTCAAAAGGAAAACATTTCCAAAAGAAGTGATTCCACGAGGAGTTGTTGTACATATTCATGAGAAAGGATGGATGGATGAAAATGGAATGAGAGTATGGGTTGAAAAAGTGTGGTCCAAATGTCCTGGAGGGCTTCTGAAAAAACCTGCCTTAGTGCTTGACCAGTTTAGAGCACATATTAGTGAAAATACAAAAAAGTGCTTTAAAGAAGAGAAGACTCATCTAGCCGTAATTCCTGGAGGTCTTACCAGCCAGTTGCAACCTCTCGACGTTTCCATCAACAAACCGTTTAAGGTCTTTATGCGAGAAGAGTGGAACAAATGGATGGATGCTGGTAATCATGATCTGACACCTGGACGAATGAAGAGGCCCACTATCACTCAAGCTTGTGAATGGGTGAAAACATCATGGCACTCAGTAAAGGATGAAATCGTTGTACAGTCGTTCAAAAAATGTGGCATTAGCAATGCTTTAGATGGAACTGAAGATGATATTGTATATCAAGATAGCGAAGAAAGTGATGTCAGTGATTGTGAGCAACTGAGCTTCCTAAATTCTGACTCTAGCGATGAGGAGTTCTTGGGGTTCCCAGAAAATTAGAAGAGTACTCGAAACTTAAAGTCTCTCCATTTGTTAATGACAGTCATAATGATTCTTAATGTCACGTTGACTGCTGTTCACTTAACATGGTTGAAATATTATTCTGTTATAGTTTATTAAATATTTTAGTACACTATTTGCTTTAGAATATTTTTTTTCTTGTTTTCCTCGTCTAAAAACTACCGGTATGTGCGTCTTATGGTCAGGTGCGTCTTATAGAGCGAAAAATACGGTAAGTGAATCACTGCAGTTGAAAAATTACTAACACGGCCATTTGTCCGAAATGGTATAGGGTTTCCTGCCTGAGCAGGGGGTTGGACTAGATGACCTTCAAGGTCCCTTCCAACTTTATTATTAATAATAATAATAATAATAATAATAATAATAATAATAATAATAATAATAATAATAATAATAATAATAATAATAATAATAATAATAATAATAATTATTATTATTATTATTATTATTATTATTATTATTATTATTATTATTATTATTATTTGAATCTGACCTCCCCATTGACAAAAGGTCGCAAAAGGGGATCACATGATCTTGGAACACAGTAACGGTCATAAATATGAACCACTTGCCAAGCATCTGAATTTTGATCACGTGATCATGGGGATGCTACAAACTTCGTAGATGTGGAAAATAGTCACAAGTCACTTTTTCAGTACCATTGCAACTTTGAAAGTCGCTAAACAAACTGTTGTAAGACAAGGAGTATCTGTATTGTAAGTGTAGGAAACCTCTTTGAGAATGTATTGAAATACCTTTTTTGAAAAGGAAAAGCTTATTTGAGAGAACACACAACACATGTGTGGATGTATGTATATTCTCAGTACACCAACTTTGGAAATCATGCTTCTATAAAGATATAAGTGGAAACCATAGTTCCACATTTCTTGCTGAAAAACAGTTGCTTTTTCAATTGCTATCCAACTTAACTTGACAGGATTAGATCAATGGGGGAAGTGTCTGAAACATCCGTCATCTGCATAGCCCAGGGGTCTTCAAACTTGGCCCTTTTATGACTTGTGGACTTCAACTCCCAGAATTCCTCAGCCAAGCACACTGGCTGAGGAATTCTGGGAGTTGAAGTCCACAAGTCATAAAAGGGCCAAGTGTGAAGATCTCTGGCATAGCAGATAACTTTTAACGTAGGGGCATGAACCAACCAGTCCTTTTAACGTAGGGGCATGAACCAACTTTTCTTAATTTTTATCTCTGTGTGAAAAGCAGCTAAACCGAGCTGCCAATTTGTGTGGGAAAACCATTTAGAGTTTTTTTTGGAGGGGAGGGAACTTGTGTACTATTTACAACTATTTTCTTTCATTCCCCAGGATTTATAGGATATGTTTACTGAGTTATATATTAAAAGGGTGTGATAAAAATTTTATTATGGTTGTCGGACAGTTTAGATTGGATTTGGCATTTTCATCTATTGAGTCCTGTTATTATTATTACTATTATTTCCCAAAGGGTAAATACAGTATTGCTTTTGTTTGTATAGCAATTCTGTCTCATGCATGATCCCTTTATATCTAGAAATAAGGTAGAAATGGTCTCTGTTTTAGTTGTCTTTGTTTACATATGGTTTCTTGCCCTTGTTTGCTTACTGCTGAGCTGATTTATTGAGTAAACCACAGTTGGTTTAGTTCAGACAGTATATAAAAGTGTGAATCATGGTTAGGATCACACAATAGGGTCATTTAGTTGTTTTATGCTTTCATGCCTAATGGTTCCACTTTCAAACTGCTTCTGCTATCGGAACATTTCACATTCTTCTGGAATATACCTTAAGAAATTCTGGAATGATTTAAAGATGTTATTCCATCTGCAGCACAGCAGGAAGCGGTTTATAGCTGCCTTGATTATCACACTTCCTTCAAATACTTTTACCCCCCAATCTTAGCCCTAAATCAGGGGTTCCCAGCCCCCAGGCTGTGGCCCACTACTGGGTCTTGAGCCATTTGGAACTGGGCCAGTGGCAGGCAAGTGCACACATCCCCACTTGGGAAGTGGCAGGTGTGCGTGCTCCATTTGTGCTAGTCTCTGCTTATGCAAATGGAGCTGCATGTGCGCTTCCCACCCTTGCTCACATGGAACCATTCCTTCTCCCTCCCTCCCCCCCCCGTCCGCAAAACTGGAAAAGTTGGGGAACGCTGCCCTAAATGTACCGAGAGTCCTCTGTATTTTATAGGAATCAGTTTCCAGGAGGCCTCATTGCCTTTTTCTAAGCCTGTCTAAATCTGCTTGAAACATCTGTCCCGAATGGGACACTGCATTGAAAATAAGATTTGACCAATGAAGATTATAGAAGAGAATTATTGTCTAGGTATGAAAGCTGAATCTATTAAGGGCAGGATTAATGGATGAAGATGATAATTGCTGTTTATATTGATTGTTGAAAAGCAAGAGTGGGTCTCCTGGGGTGTGTGACTAGAGCAGAAGTGGGTTTGTAGGCTCTTAAATTATGGATAAGTCTTTTTTGAATCCAGTGCGTGCTGCAGACTTCGGTCCCCACAGCAATGCTGCTTGCAAAGAACAGATGTTAGTTTCTTAAGGAAGAATTGCATCATATCCTTTCAACTACATAGCACCCATTGATGTTTCCCTTACCTTTTCTCAAGAAGAAAGCATCCTAAGGGACATAAGAATGTAGTGAAGGAGCCTCTTTGTTAATCATTCAATAGCAGGGTTTTAAGGTTGAGGGGGAGGGAGGTCCTTTGCAGCACCAGACAAATGAGTGAAAAAGACAGGGAATTTGCATTGATGTTGATCAAAAGTGACAGTGCCCCCTAGACAGGCTAAAGTATTGCAGCTTCCTGGAAGCTTTTTCATGTAAGCAATGAAGTTTCATGTTGGTACAGGAAACATAATCGGGTTTGGAGTGTTCTTGCGTGGAGAAGAAGGACCTATGCATAATTCTAATGGGAGCAGTAAAAGAGCATCTCTTCAGACTGTTGACGGCTTTGGGAAACCCAGAGGTTTGCTTATTTAAAGAAAGCCTTCCAGACACTCATTCAGAGCAAGTCTGTGCCTGCAACAAAGCATGGAATAATTCAACTCACACTTCCAGCCATCCAATCTACTATTCTTTCTTCCAACACTTCTGGTTTTCAGTTTCCTGTCCTCAACATACAGTTTTCAAAGTTTTTAAATATTCTAATCTTGGACTGATTATTTCCTTTTTCTTCCTTTTAGGGTTCTTTCTTTCTCTCTCTCCCTCTCCCTCTCAGTTAGTACAAGACTACCATTATCAAATGAATGCAATGAGCAGCACATAAAGTGGAGTTCAACTGCAAAAGCCTGAAGGCTTTGTATTAGCATCTCCAAAGTGCTGGAAATGTTATTTTAAAGAGTAAGCATATTTATGATTGTTTATATCCAAATTTTTATTTTGCGGAACTCAAGGCAGCATACATAATGTTCCCACCTCATTTTCCCCACAAAAATAATAATAAACTGAGGTGAATTGGGCTGAGAGCAAGGGATTGGCCAAAACCAGCCATCCAGTTTTCCTGCCTAAGGAACTACAATTCATGATCTCCTGATAACATGTCCAGCCTATTATCCACCACACCTGCACTGTTTTAGCATTTGCTTTGCTCCCTTAAAAGGAGAGGAAACCAACGCCCCCAGGGGTTTTTTTTTGCAGCTGAACAGATATGTTACACAACAAAATAATAATAATGCTTAAATGTTGACCTCACTTAGAAAATTGTTAACAAACTTTCCATCTGTCAGTTACAAGAGGCCACGCTGGATCAACATATATACTATGTCGATCAATTACAGCATCCTAGATTCTTGGGAAGAACTCAATGTATGAAGGCTAATAGCAACTAAAGAACTGCTAGCTGTGATTTCACATTTTTGTCTGTATAATTACGCTTATAATAATCCTTTGATTAAACAATACCTTCTACCAAGATCCCTGAAGTGTGTCCTCTGTAGCAGCACCTGCCCTCTGGAATGAGGTTCCCCGTCCTTAGATCCGAAAGGTTGCCACACTATTGATGTTTCGAATAGGCTTGAAGACGTGGCTCTTTGCCCAGTCCTTTGGTGATGTTGATTGACACCCCTTTTCTTCTTTCTCTTTGCTCTCATCTGGGTTTTTACATCTGTCATCTTTGTTCTTTGGGGGTCGTTTTGCTGCTTTTTAAAAAAACCAATTTTGCTCCTTACTGCTGTGAGTAAGGTGACATATACATTTGTTAAACAAATAAGATTCCAAAGCTTCGAGTTTCCTGTCCTGGGATGAGCCAGATTAAATGGGGTCTGCAATGGAAAAGAAAGAAATGTCCCATCTTTGTTTGAGAGGAAGGGGAGGACCCATTTCTTCATATCTCCCCCCCTTTCTTATCCTCAGGAAGATTATTCGAATGGAGTGTCCTTGCTAATCCCTTTACCCACTCCAAAATAGGAGCCTGATCAGCCTGCAGCTTTATTCAGTTTCATTAGCCTTGCTCCTAGAGCAAAACGCTTGAGGCCAGCTCCTCCTTTTGCTAGGGCACCCTGGCTAGGTAGCTGCTTTTCCACATAATTAACCAATATAAAATCATAACAGCCAAACAATAAAAGGCAGGCAGTGTGCATCTTATTAATTAAATCACCCAGACAGGGACTGCTGGAGTAGTTAACTGCTAAACAGCAGAAGGAGCTTCTGCTTAAGCAATGTGCGTTAGCAGGAGAGTTGGAAGATGCTCAGCGTGGCCCAGCCCCATGGCAAGATTAAACAGCCTCGCCAAGCCTGCGCTGGGCCACAGTGGTAGTGCAGAGTGAGGAGATGGGAATTGTAATCCAACACAATGTGGATTTGACCAGGTTGGAGATAGCTGTATTTTAAAGTAGTAAATGTCCTTGGAGTGAGAACTAATTTTGTCATTTGCAAAATGCTGATTATCTGTATAATCAGATAATGCTACATTGCACCGAGCTGCCCTTTGTACGAAGGAGATGAACACTGTATTAAAATGACCTAAAATAAAATGTACAACACAGAGGACTGGTGTACAGTAGCTCAGTGTTTCTCAACTTTGGTAACTTTTAAGATGTATGCTGGCTGTGGAATTCTGGAAGTTGAAGCTCACACTTCTTTC